AAGGAAGGAAGGAAGGAAGGAAGGAAGGAAGGAAGGAAGGAAGGAAGCAAGCAAGCAAGCAAGGGAAGCAGTGAGGAAGGGAGGAAGGGAGATAGGAGAAATGTGTCTCACTACACTTTGTTTTTTGTGGGGAGGCGCTGCGGCCCTCCCCCGCACCTCCTCCCGCTTATTTAAACATAAGCAGGTCACTCAAAGCACAACCAGCAAACGAGTTTGCAAGTGACTGGCCTGCAAAGCATTTGACCCTCATGGTGATTGGTTTTTCAGCGCGGGGATGCTCAATATACATTGTTTTCCTTGCGGGGGAGGCGCTGCGCCCTCCCCCGCCCCCCTCCCGCTCTTTTTATTGATGGTATTGCTACAGCGCATCACGATAGCCAAGAAAACAACCAAGAAGCGCACACATACATACATACATACATGCATGCATGCATACATACATACATACTTACTTACATACATACACACACACATACACACATACATACATACATACATACATACATACATACATACATACATACACACATACAAACATACATACATACTTACATACTTACATACATACCTACATACATACGTACATACACACATACATACATGGATAGACAAACTTACATACATACTCGTACATAGATATACATATGCATGCATGGACATACATGAATATATTTCAGACTTACCGGTGAGCGCTGCCATTCTCACATGGCTGGTGTATACTGTATTGTGATCTGCAAGAATGCAGCGGGAAGAGCCTTCTCCTTCTCTTGTTCCTTCTCCTCTCTCCTCTGTCTCCTTCTTTTTCTCCTTCTCTTTCTCCTTCTCCTTCTCTTCCTCCTTTTCTTTTTTCTCCTTCTCCTTCTACTCTTTTTTTCCTTGCCTCCTGCGCTAGTTCTCTTTCTTTTTCTCTTTGTGGCAACCCCTGACCACAAACAGTGCGGAAAAAATGTCAAAACGAGTCCGAAAAAATCACGAAAAACAAGGTCGCCCATATAAATATAGGGTGTAACCCATTTCTGGTTAAAAAATAACTATTTTTCGAAAAAGGTGTTTATTGACCATCATTATCCACTGTTGCTGGACATGGAATACACCCAGTATATTGCACAAAAAATATCATATAATGTATGCACATACACATGGGTAAATTTCTAACATGTGGACATAACTTAAGTCATTTGCCTTGAAATAAAGGGTCAAACAGTTGTCGTGATCGATGCTTTTGTGGTGAACTTAACGCTGGAAGCTCAGAACGGACCAGATTCACAAGCAGAATGGTCAATTGCAAGCGGGGGATTCTGCATCACGAGTCAACAGAACGACACACACCTTGTTGGCGGGTGAACACAGTCGACACCGCCATGCACGCTGTTGTCCACGTTTTTGTTCTTTTTGCCGGTGCCTGTGGACATCAACCAACAAAACCGTGAGCCGCTCCACCGGGAGTTTTCCGCTCCAGCGCGACCCGTGAGCCGCTCCACCGGCGTGAACCGCGACTCGCCCCGAGCGGCAGGTGAACCTTCTCGCGGCGCAAGCGGAGTACACCGTGCCTCGGGTCGTGCCGTGCGGCGGTCCGCGGGATTGGACACGGTATACGGTGTATGGTGGGGGCCATGGATGATGGGAGGCTATATAGGTGGTTCCAAATAGGTTAATTACTCAGTGATGCATATAAATATGGTATATACTCCCTTGTTAGGGTAAGGATGTCCAACTTCCACTGAGGACCCCAAATTTTTTTTGCTGTCGTGATGATGTGTCGCGTTTAAAGAAAAGCGGACAGACACCAACCAACATCGTGAATCTGGGATGCGATGACTGCCATTCATGCCACCACCTCCACCAGCCTGGGAACGAAAAACATGGAACAACCATCACAAGCAGTTTCTGGTACGTGTCCTTTTTGGAGGTCCCATCCAGTGACCTCTTAAATGGCCCGGGCCCGTGACCTGTTACATATCAATATTCGGTCCCGAACGACTTCGAAGCAACTCCACCTATCGGCTTCGAACCAGGAACCTTCGAAGTCGGACATCGGTCAGTCGGGACGAATCTTGGGGTGAAGAAACTCCAGATTCGACACGGATCGACGTGGATCTGGGTGTGGTCTGTCTCATCAGTCGTGATTTTTTTTTTTTTTTCGATTCGGTCAGTCGTGACGAAGGATCGACTCTGCCGACCGGAACTCGCGGTGAGAACGTTCTCCGGAGACGAGTGACTAGAGTGACTGGACCCCACAGAAAGCGACCAGTGGTCGCACTTGGTTTGGCGAAGGAGTCACACATGGTGACCAGGAATTTTTGTGGCCCCTCATGGACCATCAGTAGAGGCCTATCATTGAATGTGAGTCAAACTTTGCAGAAGATGTAGCAGAAGAGAGAGATATGCTGCCTTCCATATGGTGGATCGTCACGACTCTCCAAGCAAAAAAGAAGCCACACAGAGACAGATGCAACACCAGCATCGCCACTAGCCAGTTTTCAGAGATCCATTAGCAGTTCCTTGAAGAAGCATGAGCTATCCTGCGTCCATGTGTAGTAGCTTAAGTAGCTAGTAACAGCAGCTAGTAGCTTACTGCCTTACTTCATTGAGTAGGTGCCCACTTAATCAAGTAGGAGTGGGCCAAAAGAAAAAAGGTGTCTACCCTTTTTTGGAGGCCAAAAGGGTTGCGCCTCCACTCACATCAGATGGGTCAGAAAAGAATCAGATCCACTCACTGCAATTCCTGTGTGCTGGAATCTTTCTGGAATCCGACTGTCCTAGAATAGGAAGATCGTTCTGGTCTAACCGAATGGAACCAATACCCCTAGCCTTTAGTTCGACCATTACACAAATGAAGGGTGGACCTGGTCGTGCAGTGAAAAAAACTCCTTAGTAACACCAGGACATACCAGGATGTCCTGCCCTAAGAATCCGGGGCTAAAAAAAAGACATAGGGTTTTGGACTGCGGATGTCGGGTCCGAGCCCTGCCATGACAGACCCCCAAGGATTCTTAGGGTGGTTTGGTTCACGTGAGCATGTTCTTTCACTCGGTCTCCGGAGTGATTCACTCCTCGGAACCGCTGTAGGTGTAGGAAATATCCGTCCAGGATGAGAAAAACCTTACGCCGGTGAGTTCGACTTGGGAGACTTCTCAGGGCAAGGACCAAGAAGAAGGAATGTATACTATGGGGGAGACAACAAAGCCAGTGCGTCCCAGTCAATCCACTTCTTTCTCAGGAACTAAGGATTCGTTCTTTGGAACCACTGGTTACAAGCTATAGTGGTAACTGGATGGTTTGGGAAATAGACATCCAAATCCCATGTGCCTGGGACCAGGATGACCCAGCATGACCGAGATGGATTTTGGATGGCCCCGGGGCATCCCGATCGGGGGAACACCTGTCGTCCGGTGACTGGGAAGCTGACCATCCAGGAATTGGGGGAAGTAGAGGAAACCTGAGTATCACATGTCGTATTGATATACGCAATAACATCGTAAGAGGGAGACCCCCAAGCAGTTTTTGGGTCTATCACCCTTCTAAACCAGTGCTTTTCTTGGGGGAGGAAAACTCCCTGGTTTGAGACTCACCCAAGGGCACTTCCACGAGTGTCATGAGAGTGTTACAATCCACTTCGATCCGAATCTGCGCCCGGTCGCCTGGCCTTCGACCCGTTAAAGATTTCTTCTGGTGTTGCAGTCCAAAATAAGATAAAATAAGCAGTTGTTTGTCGGTCCAAACCTATTAATATCACTTGTGGGCCAGGCATTTTTTTTAAAGGGTGTTCCTGGAGTTTTAGCTTCCAACTGTGCCTCTGTCCAATCCCCTTCGCTTCATTTGTTTTCAACACTCCAGCGACGCGGACGCTCAGGTGAAGATGCACGCGCAGCTGCTGGAGGATTTGCTCGACGGCTGCACCACGCACCTCTGAAGCCGCGTTCGTCGAAGCCGCGCCCTTCGTTGCCAACGGCTGCCCCCGTGGGGAACGGGAAGCCGGAACGAGACGCGAGGCTTGGAACGGCGGTTGGAATGTACCAAGTGCATCAAAAGGCGTAGAATTGGGTGGTCAGCCTCTCTGGAAAGAGGCTCGTAGATGGTGAAGATTCTTACAAAGACTCACTATACCAGCTAGGTTGATGGTGAATGGTAGCATCTCTTGCCATGCACGTAGAGCTGAGAGCTCACGATTGGTGGGAGGTCACGAAGGGCACGTTGCAAGCGATTTTCTCACACCGAAGCCTCTCCGTGGATAGCTGGAAAAACGATTCGTCACCATTTGCACGCCCAAACCACGCAGGCCTGGTAAAATGCCTTTGGCCTGGTTTGAATGCAGAAGTGCGGCAGAAGAGACCAGACATCGCAGCCAAAGTGCTGAGTTCGTGGTGGTTTCAGTTCGTGGATCCAGTCCATGCTCGCTGAACTCGGAAGCTTGACGTGACGGACGGTGACCGGTTTCGGCTATGTGCAAGACCGGCGGTGACCGTGCGGTCACCGGAAGGCTCATGAAAACACATATAAGAAACCAATGAAAACCTATCTAAGATCATCAAAGAGCTCATAGGAGTTCTCGAGCTGGACAGGTTTCAAGATCGATCTGTCGAAATCACCTTCTGTGCAAAATCTCGCAGCGTGCGGAAGGGCGGTGCGGAGAGAAGGCTCGTGTGGATTTCGGGTGATCTCCGGCCCGTAGAAGCGATATGAAGCGATGCAACGTCAGAAGTCTTCTTCTTGGGTTGTGTTAGACATGACAAGCCTACAGAGATTTTCTGCCCCCCCACTGGTGAACGTTTGAAAAGAAACTGATCACTGATAATGATTTGATATGTGTATACTATACGTACTGTATATACTTGGAACCCGTTTGACCTTTGTTTTCATAGGAAAACACACACATATTTGGGGTATGTTTGGGGTATTCTTGTGGTCCAAATTAGAGGTCATTCCAGTTGGCTGAGGAGTTTCATGAGACAACCCCTTTATATATCTTTATATCCTCAGAGCCTGTTCTCGAGTTCGGGGCTGACATCTGGACCGGCAGGGTGACCACCAGGGTGACCATGGGACCTGCAGGGTGACCAGGCTTCGTCACCGTCACCAGTCCAGTCTCCACCAGGTCCAGTTCCGCGGAAGCTTCGTCCCTTCTCGGACGTTTTTCCTTTTGATGGACCGGAGCTTCCGGGCTCTGTGTGAGACATGGGTGGAGCCGGAGGCCAGGGCGTGTCATTTGTATTGCATAGATGGTTGACATATGTTGACATCGTTCATTTCAATTCATTTCATATAAAATCATCAAATGTGCCACACACTCCATGGCGTATGGCGTATTTGCATACATTGTGGTGGTTTCCGGGTATGAATGTCGGCATAGTATATATATATATATTATATTTTTATATATGTCCAGTCCAATGTGTAGGTAGTGTGTGGTCCCGAAAGTGACTCTCCGACCGCCCCACCGCTTTTCAGTGACCGCCTGGCGCCATCGCGCTTTGGTTTGGAGATGTTTCGTTGGGTCTTCCCAGACACGACCTGTCTGGGACTGCCGATGCCGATCAGTTAGGGTGGTGCCAGGGGGGTCAATGGGGCGGCATATATGGCAGTCCCATTAGTCGTGTCTGGGGAGGATAGTTTTCCAGATTCGCACCTCAAAGGGTAGAGAGAGGCATGCCCAGAGATGCTTTGCTCGACACGGAGCTTTGCCCAGACTCGGGCTGAGCGTTCGCGAACGTGTCTTTTTGCGAAAGTGTCTGAACACAAAATATATAGACCTGGTCGGTGGACCACTTTTAACTTGTTGGTTTTCGGGAACGGCTTGGGAGATCTTGGGAGTCAGAACAGAGTCCTGACTCAAGAGGTGTGTGGGAATGATGTTGAACTCCTCTTTCCATCCACTTCGAGAAAGCCAATGAGTTACGGCTTCAACGCCAATCTACGGATTCTTTGTGGAGCTGTTCTTCGCCGTCGCCGGGGGGTTCCCGCATGAGTCAGTCAGTTGGTGCCGAAGTTCCGCCTGGACTCGCCGCCTCTGCCGGCCATTCTTGGCTTCACAGAGCTGTCACCGAAGCACCTGCAAATGCAAGGCCCGTGCGATTCGGATGTGGGGAGAACCGGGTGTTGTTCGGCCGGATTCCGCGCAGAGCGGGGAGTGGGGAGGGTGGAACTGCGACCAGGGGGAGAGGGGTGGGAATTGGCTGGAACGTCGAACATTCGGCGCATAGCTATGTATAGCTTCTCTTGCTGCAGTGATTTTTCCACAGGTGGACGGCATACAAAGACTTCTCGTCGCAACATGGAGATTTTAGGGCTTCGAAAAGCAACACCGAACTCGTTTTGAACGATGTTTACACGTACTATACCCCTTACACTCCATGGGACTGCCATATATGCCTATATAATCCTATATACATTGACCCCCCAAACCACCACCGCAACTGATCGGACTGATCCGTGACGACTCGTCGACTGGAGAAGGCCCACGCTGGTCCTTCGCGCCGGTAGAGCCTGTCCTGTCGGTCCGGATCCGTCCGGAACGTCCCGAAGTGGTGGGGGTGGTGGTGGAGTCCAACTGGGTCCTCCAAGAAGCCAGGGGTTTTTGTTTGGAACGTTTGGAAGCTACTGGAGCTGAGCGAAGATCGTGGTCAACCGTCTGATGCCGCATCCAGTCGCGAGCGAAGAGGAGAGGCAGCGTTGGAAACAGCAGGGCTCGGCTGAGGTGGTCAATGTCGCGGACAAAACGTTCGAAGAGAGCACCCTCGGTGCCCGTTGAGCGGCGTGAGGAGGTTCTCAGGAAATTAAGATAATTAAGCAATATCTTCGCTATTCCACAAGACCGCCTAAGCAAGGCGAAGGACCAAGCGAAGATTCTGAAGATCCTCACCGCTGTCGAAGAGAAGCAAGCGGCAATAGATGCTTACAGCCACAAACATCTCACCACTCGAAGCGTCCACGTGAACGGGAAACAGGTTCTGTACCTTGACCCAGCAGTCAGAGATGAGAGACTGGAACAGATCATGCGAGAAGCGAAATCGGACCAGACCGACAGAGGGCGATTCATGGGTCTGTTCGGACTCCGAAAGGTGACTGGGGCAAGCGGTTCAAGTCGCGGGGCAAGCTTCTGACTGGTGCTTAGTAGGGAATGAGGGAATGGATCCAAAGGAATCTCTATTGGGGGCTCATTCCCTCATTCTCTACTAAGCACCAGTCAGGCTTTGAAGGGACATTTCATCCCTGTGCCTCCGGATCCTTTGCATGTTTCAAAGTTCAACAAGCACGATCTGGCACCGCCGAAAGTGGAAGACAATGAAGAGTATCCTTTGCCGCTTGAAATCGACGAATACTTGAGAAGACAAGTGAACAACGAAACGAACTTGAGAACTACGGCGGCGAAGAAAGCTGAGCAAGCGCTTGGAAGAATTTACGCCAATGCTGACGCAGCCAGCAGCAATTGACGCATCTGATGCCCCGCAATACCAGAAACAAGATGGAGCCCACGAACCCGAATGCAAACACATATGTCAATCCACTGTGTATAGAAAGAGACACAGCCGGTTAGATTATCTTTTTCACACTCCGGCACGCTGTTAGACACGTTCGAAAAGCTACAAGTGACACTCTTGTAGGACACTCTTGTGGGACACTCTTGTGGGTCTCTTGTAGGAAACTCTTGTGGGACACTCTTACGGGACACTCTTGTGGGACACTCTTGTGGGACACTCTTACGTGACACTCTTGTGGGACACTCTTGTGGGACACTCTAGTAGGACACTCTTGTAGGACACTCATACGGGACACTCTTGTCGCACACTCTTGTAGGACACTCTTGTGGTCACTCTTTATGGGAAACTCTTGTAGGACACTCTTGTGGGACACTCTTGTAGGACACTCTTGTGGGACACTCATATGGGACACTCTTGTGGGACATTCTTGTAGGACACTCTTGTGGGACACTCTTGTGGGACACTCTTGTAGGACACTCTTGTGGGACACTCTTTTGTAGGACACTCTTGCGGGACACTGTTGCGGGACACTCTTGTGGGACACTCCTGTGGGACACTCATTTGGGACACTCTTGCGGGACACTCTTGTGGGACACTCTTGTAGGACACTCTTGTGGAACACTCTTGTGGCACACTCCTATAGGACACTCTTGTAGGAAACCCTTGTGGGATACTCTTGTAGGACACTCTTGTGGGACACTCTTGTAGGACACTCTTGTGGGACACTCTTGTAGGGCACTCTTGTGGGACACTCTTGTGGGACACTCTTATAGGACACTCTTGTGGGACACTCTTAACTCTTGTGAGACACTCTTGTGGGACATGGTTGCGGGACACTCTTGTGGGACACTCTTGTGAGACACTCTTACGGGACACTCTTGTAGGACACTCTTGTGGGACACTCTTGTAGGACACTCTGGTGGGACACTCTTACGGGACACTCTTGTTGCACACTCTTGTAGGACACTCTTGTGGGTCACTCTTATGGGACACTCTGGTCGGACACTCTTGTGGGACACACTTGTGGGACACTCTTGTGGGACACTCATACGGGACACTCTTGTGGG